AAAAAAAAAATATATTCTACAAAGTGATCGCTACAAAAACCAAAAAAAAAGATAAATGTTTACTTTTTTTCATTTTTTATACGTTGCACATTAATGTAAAAAATTTATAATTAAAGCCCATAATAAAAAGGAAGAAACACATTTTTTTTCATTAAGTTTCGTTAAATGGTTTCCAAAATACAGCACTTTAAAGAAAGGTATGTATTACGTTTTCTTAAAATTTATGTCCCGTGTAAATAGGCAACCCTACATCATATCGGAAAAATATACTGCGCGTATATTCATATCACCTAGACCTTCAATCTCTTTAACTTTCATCAAAATCCTTAAAGGTCGCGCACAGAGTTGGCACCGTGACATGAAATGCCTCTATAACAATATTGCATGATATGTATTTGGGCTAAAAAGACTTGACCACGTATCACCATATGCTGAAAAAATGCTAAACATTTCTTTTGGTAACCTTTTAAATACTAAGATATTCGTTTTTTCATAAGGTTATATGTATATATTTGCTAATTTTATTATCCATATAAGATAAATCCACATAAAATCATTGTTTAGAGCTAATTTGTTAATTCCGGGCACGAAATGTGTTTTTTCGTTCCTCACGCACTGGGCACTTTTGGCACGTGTTGACACATTTTTGACACTTGTGAGAGAGTGACTAATTTTTGCTCCCGAATTACTGAAACAGCCCGGAAAGCGGAAAATCAGAATCAAATCAAAATGAAAATTTTCAAACTAACGATTAACGAATTTCAAAACACACAAAATAATCGATGTGCGCACGAAACTATGGGCCAAATGTAGTAAAACTGGGTTTTATGATTATATTTAAAAGGACTTAGAAATTTTAGAGATATGATTAATTCAAAGAATTATATAAAAAATCAGTGCAATGTAGAATAACAATATGGGTACCAAATGAGAGAGAAAATTCTGTAGAATTTTAACACAATAAAGATTTATGGTTTACAAGGACGAATAGGTTTTGAAAATGCGCTTTTAATAAATTTTATCTTGTTGAGTTAATAAAGTTTGCAGGACGAAATTCGATGACGAGTTCATGCGTATATTAGTCCTCAACCAATAATTAAAAAAATATATTGCAAATTTTCAAGGATATTTAAGGACTAAATTTGTAAAGGACATTTTCCGTGACCATTCGTCCCTATACACCAAAAAATGGATTCTGTTATAATTCTACAGAATTTTTTCTTTTATATGATACCCTTACTTTTATCCTACATTGGACTCAATTTTTTAAATAAGTTTTTGAAGTAATTCTAATTTTTAAAATTCAAAGTCAAAAGGGGCTGGTTCACGTGATTCATCAACTGCGTGGATTTTATAGGTTGTGTTTTTTACAGCAATATCAGTTGTCATTTTACGATTATATTCATCGACTTACTTAACGGTGGGATAAATGCGAATAACAACACCATCTTCAAATTCCTCTGTTAACGGCACGTTTCTTTTTTCACACAATAACTTCAAATCCGCAGTGGTCAACTCCCCAAATCGCAAATGAAACTTTGATCGTTTTGTTGCCGCAAATTTTGTGTTAATTCACACCATATAGGTTGCATGAAACACCAGCGCCCTTTCAGAGGAGGCAGTTGCATGATGTCGCCAAAGATCAATATATTTATTTCTCCGAATAGCCGATCGTTATTTTTAAATTTTTGCAACCTCACCGTGGAAACATACTGCTGTTACCGCTGTCAGAATTAGAACACCCGCCGGCATATGAAATTGAACACATCCAAAGCGAAATGCGAAGTTCGCTCGGCGGCGTTTCGTGGCGATAGATTTATTTCTATCGCTCTGCTGGGCGATGGCGGCAGTACATGCCAAAGGTGGCCGTATGTTTTTTTACTTTCAAAGATTTAGAAGAAAACAGCATGTAACACGAATTATTTTTGATGGTTGAAAAATACAGTACTCGATTCGTTAAATCTGGCTTAAAATAAAATAATTTATAATAATTCCCCCTTGCCTTATGTTTATATTTGTTATCATTTCATCATTTCTAAACATGGTTTAGTTTTTTTTCAAAATATGGTCACCTAACTTAAAAGTGCGACGAAATGGTATCAGCTGTTTTCGCTACCGCTCCAATTCTGTTCGGCATCGCCCAATTCGGCGAATTTCGCCGGGTATTGTGTTTCAAGCATCGGATGTATCATTAGAAGGTTTTCGTAAGATACCATCGAAATTTCATCGATGAACAACCAATCAATGTGGCGCCACTTTCTCCTTTCTTGCTCCAATTTGTGACCAGTCATTCGCCTATATTGTCGAGCATTTCCTTTTTCAATAGGCAAATAAAGGACTGCGTTAGGTTTTTGCCAAATATTAAACGTGCGGTAACTCCAGTCAAGGATGTTACTTTGACGAAAGTAAGTTTTAACAAAACGTCTAAGGTAGGAGCATAACAACGCTTGATGTGCTCTACAAGTAGTTTTAGCACGAGAGACTTACCGCTATCTGCTCCATCAGTAATAAATAGTAGTAACTTTTGGTCTTCGCCGTTCAGATTTCTCTGAATTGTTGCTGTAATTTTTTGAAAAAGACTTTTTTGCTCGACATTCAATTTGAGAATGTTTCCATCAAATACATCGTCTGTCATTACTGTGCGTTGTTGGAAACTTTCACAATCGTCATCTTGGTCGTACATTATGTGTTCATCAGCATATATTGTTCTGGCATCTCGTGTAATCTCAGTACGCGTGTCACTAACGGCGTTGAATGCGGCTTGAGCAAGTGCTTGCTATATTACTTGCTCTGCATGTGCAAATTCTTCGGAGCTAACGTTGTGAAGTAGAGGTCTTAACTCGGCGCGGCGTCTTAAAAACCATTGTTCAGCCGATTCTCCTTCTACCATAAGTATATTTTCGTCACGGAAAGGGTTATGGCAAACAAGAAGGCTATAATAATATGCCTCTTTATCGCTGTTGATAGTGTAGTACCGCGTACGTAGTATTGCGGCTTTCTTACGTATCCTCATTAGTATCCCTCAATTTGATGTACCTTAACGACTCTTCGTCTACACCCCTCATTTCTATGTCGCCATCATCTTCAGTCCATGTGGTAGATAACACAGTCTCATAACGAACTGAGAGTTCAGCGAGGCTTATGTTCTCGAGCTGTTCAGGTCTTAGCACGTAACAGTCGAAAATGTTATTCGAAATTTCTGTTTCATCACCGTGGAAACGCAGCAGACGAAATCGCTATTATGCTTTGCAGCTATTAACAAATACTGCTTTTAGACTGCTTATTTTAAGTGGAAGATGGCAAAGGCGATATAATTTAGGAGCACTAACCAGTCGCAGAATGGCCATTGATACCGCAAACAATTGGTTCCATACGGCACCTCCACTTGTCTTGGCTTTTGTGATTGCTTCCCGAACTAAATCTCGTGTAACATGAGTCTCACTTTTACTAGCGTACTTTGCCACATAATACGCCACAGCCCTTAACGTTACCACATGGTTGTATGTCCATGTTACCCTCCCACAGAGAAAGAAGCTCAGGACTATAATTATTAACCATGGTTTCATTAGCTGCTCTTTTCAGTATACAAAAGCGACCATTTTTAGATAGTGCTTCATCAGGACCTAAACAAGTTGTAGTGTCTGCTGGTGCTTTTGGATAGTCAAATCGACAGCAACTAGCATTACGATATTTCCTGCAGGTGACGGTGTGCTTATGTATTTGCAAATTTCCAACTAAACTGCGCAGAGTCGGATCGTCACAGTTTAATGAACATGAGACAACTCTCTCAATTACTAATATGTCTTACTCGGTGGAAAAATCTGTGCTTCCCTCACACCACAACAACATATGTAGATGCGGGCTGCCTCTATTTTGGAATTCTATCCGATATAAAAATCTGCAACAGAACCTCCAAAGCATGTATTACTACTTTTCAAATACCGAATAAGAGCGTTTACACGTACAGTAAACTGCCGTGCAACTACCACTGAATATTTCTGAACCAGTTGTAAACGTTCGTGAAATGATAGTGCTTCAACGTTACGTAAATCGCCGCCATCAGCCATAAGTAACGCCGTTATCATGTCTGGCCAATTTAAATCGTTGCAAGAAAAAGTCATATACTATGTCGGAGCTCCAAGACTTCTAACCATGGCGATCAACTCTGAAGAACACTGTCGCCAGTAAGAAGCAGAACCTCTTAGATTCCTCTTAGTAAGATACATATTAATAAGTAGTACTTGAGGTGTCTGTTCCCCGTGTCCTTGCTTCACTCTACAGGATACAGAAACACTGGATTTAGCTCGAAAGTATTCGCAACTGACAAAGCAAAGAACATATAATCATTTCTTTGGAATCGTGCTTCTGAGCCCATAACTCTAGCTTGAAAATAGTCTAAAGCCGTTATAGGGATATCTCTTTCCTTCCCAAATTCATTTTTTCCATCAGGAAACAAATATTACCAACCTAATTCCTCCATTCTTCGCTCCCATTCTATATTGGGTGGCGCTGTTTTACGAGTGATTTCTCCTAGTCTAACTTTAGTCTCCTGGTGGTCGACGGAAACAATGTTGCTTAGGTCAGGAACACATACATCAATAGTACGGAGCATGTTCGTTGTAAAGGAATACCGGGTTGCTTCGTCATTCGTATCACTATGAACTTGGGGCAGATTTGCATGGTGAGAAAACGACATGCGGTTTAGCTGCTGATTAACCGATTGATTTTCAATATCTTCTATTTCCATTGATATTATTATAGGTGTCAACCAATAAACATTTAGCATCATGGACTCTGTAGAACTCATTTTATATTTATGAGAAATATATAAATTTTTTCGTAAAGTGGTACATAACTTTTCAAAATTCCGAAAATGCATGCAACAGGCCGTACCCTTTAATGGGGCTCTGTATCCTTTGGCCCCGCGGGCATGCGAATCGAATAACCAATATGTAGGCATTTCGGATTGGATTCTGCAATGCACAGCGACTGTTATCGCATTGGAAGTTAATAGTGCCAACTTATTATTATTATTGTTTTGGAAACAACTAAGTAAAGCGTTTTTCTAGTTAGGGAAATTTTCACTGTTATCTTTGTCGATATGTCCATTAAACGCTGATCCACAATCCACAGCCACCCCTTTGAAAGACAACTAGTGACAAGAATTCTGTATCAGCTAAGTACTCGCGATTCAATTCGCGCTCATCTGGATTAACTCGAGCAGCAATACAGTCACGATAGTACTTGTCTCCCAATATTAAAATATAACCGATATAACTTTTACACCACGTATTAGGATCGGAAAGGTTAAAACCAGTGCAAGCGACTACTGCAATTACCGTACACCATTTTCCGCGTGTTTCAGAGCTAAAATTTTCACTGCCTTGTTGGAATGATCCTTGCAAAATAGCTACATTTACGTCAATGCTTCTAAAAATGTGTGTTTGTCGCGACTCTGGAAAGAGTTCTGAGGGGACATTATCAGATGCTTCCGCAATTTCTGCAATAAAGGACAGGTCTATGATATTGGAGAATGCCGCACGAACATCTCTGTAAAGCGCGTTATTAGCCAACAACCATTGTGTAGTATTACAGTAAATACACCACTCTAATGCATTTACAAATATCGACCGCACACGATGTCAATGCCATCAGGACCCACATAAGTCATAATGAACTCAGCGGGAGTTCAACACCAAACGTTCAAAGGCACAGTTCAGTTTACACTTGCCAATTGCATTACTCGAGACAGGCACACTGACCAACTCACGTGACGATCAGCTTAACAGATCGTCAGCGTCAGTTTGTCAGTGCGACTGCCAAAATAACTATGACACATATGCTGATTTAGCATACCATATGCACATTTGTAGTTTGTAAGTATTAGTGTAAATTAGTGCAAGAAATTTTGTATAAAAAGAAAGTAATTTCAAATAAAAAATGAATTCTTGTTGCACGCTACACGTAAGCATTTCTTTAATTTACATGGCGATTCTGCCAGGCTTCGGTCGTTAGTCAGCGGAAAAATTTGCTCAATAAGCAAACCGCTAAAAAGACCGCGCGCCACTGAGAAAAAGAAATTGCAAATAGATTCTAAATAGTTCACTTTACTCGGGTTTTCACAGTCAATTTTTACAAAAGATTCCCACAGTGTAAAGCATTTTCAAAATAGTGACACATAACGGACTGTTATAACACCTTACAACGGCACTAAGTCTAATTTTTCTTTGGTAACATACGGGCAAGATGATGAAGCTCCAGCTGTGATTCTATTCGCTCAAAACGTAGCTGCGAAATCTCCGGATGAACATCTTCTCATATATGATCTTGGGTTATCAAAGGATGATTCCAGAGCTTCGATAGCATAAAAGGGTGGAATATTTGAAGGAATCTGACTGGCAGCACAGCAACCAGACCTCCAGAGCTTCGATAGCATAAAAGGGTGGAATATTTGAAGGAATCTGACTGGCAGCACAGCAACCAGACCCCTCCAAGGCAGCAAAGAAAACAAAAATTAAAAAGGATAGTATAAATAAGTTAAGATAAATTGAGCACGCCTCATGGCCGCTTAACCAAGAGCAAAATTAATTTTGCTTAGGAATTTTTTTTTTGTAATTTTGCTTAGGAATTTTTTTTTTTGTAATTTTGCCTAGGAAATTTAAAAAAAAAAAAAAAAAAATGTCAACAGTTAATTGAAAAAAAAAACAAAGAAAAAAAGAGCTTCTTATAAGCATTAAAAATTTTTTTTACATAAGTATGCAGGAGATTACGACTCAGGAGGAATTCAATAGAGTATTTAAAAAAGTACGAAGACAACATAAAGGAATTCATAAAAATTTCCGAAAAAATCCTTAAGAGTCGTAACACTGCAAAGCAAGGTCCGACGCCTTTACCATAGAAGAGTATCGGCGACGGAATAAGCTTAATAAAAAGGAAGAAATTCCTAAAATACCTACCCCTATAAAAATCCACAAAAGGAGACGGGGAGGTAAACAATTCAAAAAAAGGAAAGAAATAGCCGAAACTTTTAGGCTACTGAATCTAACAACAAATACGGTTGATAGATTAAGATTAAAAGAAAAAATAAATATGTTAAGAAATAATTTATTTTTCAGAAAATAATAAAACTTGTTAATAACAAACTGAGTAAATTGGAATGTCGAAGGATTTTTCTAAAAACCCACTTAAGGGGGATCAAAACGCAACTTTAAAAGTTAGAGAGAGAGAGAATTAGCTTATTTAAGAGAATTATGGAGTCTAATAGGTATGACTAGCGAACCTACTTTAGATGATGTGGAAAAGCCTACAATTAGAGAAGAAGAACCATGTAGGATGATGAGGATGGTATTCCCTCATGAGGATTAAATTAAATTGTAAGAGATTCTTTTCAGTAAATAAATAAATAAAAAATATACACATAACGACTTTAATTTTCTTTTTGAAAATGGCATGGTGGAAAACCGTATTACACGGTATCCTAATAGGAATAGCAGGATACGAAGTGGGTAAGGAAAATTCTGGAGAGAAAAACGCTGAATATAAACTGGTCAGGTATGAACCAAAACTCAGTATAGAAAACAAAGAAGAAATCTCAGATAAATGGTTAACTATTTTCGCATGCGTAACTACATTTTTAATTGTCGCAATTGCAATTCTAATAAAAAATTATATAAAGAATAAATTGAGACAATTGAACATGGTACAACAACGCGTCTAAACAAAAAATTCGATATTCCAAGAAATGAACCAATGGCAAGAAATATACGACGCATTATCTGAAGAAAAAACAAAAGCTAGTAAATCGTACAAATGCATAAATAAAAATGCTACTATAAAAATAGAAACAGTAGTAAAGCATTTGAACATAATTTTAGAAGCTCTAAAAAGAATAAGACAGGTGATCAATACAACAGACCGTATACTTACCAAAGAACACCAGAAAGAAGTCCGCCAATTTTTCTTCGCCGTACGAGATAAGTTGGTATATTCTTTAGCTAGACACAATATAGAAGTAACAATACCAACCACAGTAGAGGAAAAACTCCAGATCGATTTCAACTCAATTTTATCAGAACGTGCTCAGAGCCCGATTCAATCACCTTCCTTGAGCCAAACTCCATCAGTGGAAGAAAAGAAACCGTTAGACAAACTGTAGTCGAATTTATTAAAACTGCTTCATCAGTGCTACCAGAGTTTGATAGTAAGCCGGAGAACTTACACAGTTTCCTAGATGCCCTTGATATACTTGATCAAATCAAAGATGATCACGAAGCCTTAGCGATAACAATGATAAAAACCAAGCTAAAAGGCACGGCAAGAAATTTTATCAGTACCGAAAACCCAATAGAACAGATAAAAACAAAATTAAAAAACGCAATAAAGGGTGAATCAGTAGAAGTTTTAACCGCTAAACTGAACATCCAACAACGTAGCAAAACTGCTAATCAATACACAGCAGAAATAGAAAAAATTACTAGGTCATTGGAAGGAGCATATATCTCGGATGGACTCAACCCAGACTTAGCAACGAGATATTCAACCCAAGCAGCAGTCAAAGCAATGTGTAAAAACTGCTCCAATGACAAGGTCAAAATGATAATGCAAGCGGGAATGTTCACAACTACGAACGATGCAATCTCTAAATTTACGAACAGCTGTACCGAAATAACGGGCAGCTCAAACACAATTTTGAATTTACGACAGCAGAGTCAGTACCGGAGTAATTTCCGTGGAGCTTACCGAGGTAACAACTATGGAAATTACCAAAGTAGGAGATTTAGACCGCAGCCGAGATACAACAATAACTCGAGGTCCAACAGCAATAATAATAATAACCGAAGAGGATCACAAGCTCAAAATGGCAATAGACCTTACAACCAGACCCGTAACGTGCGCAGCTGCACCCAGACGGAAAACCAAGAAACTCCACACACGATAAAAATTGCAACGATACAGAGAAATTAAAAAGATTAACAAAAAACTTTCCAAAATTTGTCAACTCTCAGTTAACAACACTATGCACAGAATTCATAGACATATTTGCACTAGAAACTGAACCAATCTCCTCTAACAATTTTTATAAACAAAAATTATACATGAAGGATGACACTCCTGTTTACATAAAAAATTATAGATTGCCTCAAACGCAAAGAGGAGAAATAAGCAAACAGGTAAATAAGTTAATAGAAGATGATATAATAGAACCCTCTATATCAGAATATAATAGCCCAATCTTATTAGTCCCTAAAAAATCACTCCCAGGAAAAACAGAAAAAAGGTGGAGATTAGTGGTAGACTACAGACAAGTAAATAAAAAGCTAGCAGCAGACAAATTCCCACTTCCAAGAATTGACGATATTTTAGACCAACTTGGAAGAGCAAAATATTTTTCATGCCTAGACATTTTGTCAGGTTTTCATCAAATCGAATTACACCCCGACTCCAGGGATATAACCTCATTTACAGCCGATAATGGCACCTATAGATTCAAAAGACTACCCTACGGATTAAAAGTAGCACCGAATTCATTCCAAAGAATGATGACCCTAGCATTTGCAGGCCTCAAGCCATCTCAAGCATTTCTCTACATGGATGATTTAGTTGTATTAGGTTGTTCTGAAAACCACATGCCAAAAAATTTAAGAGACGTATTCTCCACTTGCAGAAAATTCAACCTAAAATTACATCCAGATAAATGCCTATTTTTCAGCCAAGAAGTAACTTATTTAGGACATAAATGCACAAACAAGGGAATACTACCCGATCCGAGCAAATTTGAAACAGTTCAAAATTACCCAACACCAAAAA